TATACGATGTGCATATAGAAATATATCTATATAAAGCGTATCCATGAATAAATCTGAGAGCTACACAGAGGAACTCGGGTGGGTGGAAGGCACCAGGGCTGGGTGCTGCAGGGCCAGCAGACAAACCACCTCTTTTATATTGGCCCAATACAAAACAATAAACAAAAAAAAACCTTACATAACTGCTTTTTTACAGCCATTTCCGCATGTCTTTTTTAAATAAACTGGATTGAAACTTATTGTAGTAATGCTTTACAGCTCGCTGCTGCTGAAGGAGGCAGTTTCACATTCCCAGACTGTTCCTGCTAATGCCCTGGCCCCTTTCTTGTGTCAGGAAAAACATTTATGCAGCTGCAGTGACTCTGATCAATAACAAATCCACTCCCTTCCCCCCCCCGGCTTCCCTGGGTCCATTCCCCAAATGAATATTGTGCCAGCTCAGGCAGGTAGCAAGGGGGGAGTATAGCAACAAGGAAGGCTGAGACTACCCTCTTTCTGCAATTCTCTCATGATCTGATGCAGAATAAAAAATTTAAAATTATTAGACTACCCAGTTTAGACCAGCAGTTAAAAAAAAAACCACACAAAATATCCTATATCATACAGAATTTATGAACTCAGATATATCTAACACAGGGAAAAGCCAAATTATACAAAGCAAGTCTCAATGCTCAAGTCTTATTTCTGATATCTGAAAATTATAGTGTGTAAACACAGAATGGCAACCTCCTTTCCAGCCTCCATGACAACACAGACAGCAATAGAGCTAATTTATCAATACAGACAATAACATCATGAAGTACAAGTTCCAAGAACATCCTGATGGACTTCAGGTAGTTTAATGTCTTAGAAGAGGCACTAGAGCACAGTACTTTGTTTTTTTCAGAGCTATCTCCACTTCACAAAGGTGTTTATCCGCTCTCAGTTGTGTTGGTTGGACCAAGATAGGGTTTGTGCCTGAGTCTACCCAAAATCAATTATTTCAAGAATTCACAATTTTGTCTTCCATGTTTTAATATCAGAACTTGCAACACATACACGTATTTTTGAAGAATTTCTCTTCTCACTTGTGGCCAACTCCTAGACTCTGTTTTCCCAGTTTTATTCTTAAAAATTCACTTCAAAGTCTTAATAAGAAAAAAATATTGCCCATTAAGTGACAGGAGCAGGCCATTGTTCTCTAACTACCAAGTCCATTTCTTCTTGAAACGCATCTTAAGTGTCACAAAAGTTTAAAGAACACTGAAAGGCACTTCAAAAAAGCCCTAAAACCAACCAAGCCACCTTGTTGGCAAGTAGGAAGCTATTCATGCTGTAGCCACCTTGTTGGCAAGTAGGAAGCTATTCGTGCTGCATAAATACACTGACATTGAGTCCATGAATTAATAAAATAAAATGAGAGTACAGGGAAAGGGGCAGCACAAGCAGCTCCTGGAGAATTAATTCAAGTTTTTTCCCCTCCATGTGATATTCTAACAGTGCTTTTGCAACAAGCACAGACCACAGCCCAGGACCAGTCTGTGTACGAATGCTCCTCCATATCTTTATTGAAGGTGGGCAAAGCTACACTACACCAGGGATGTCCAGGAACAGGACTCTTGCCAACGATCCTACAGGGCTAATTAATAAACCAGCAGCCAACAGTTTGAGTTTAGGCTTCATTCTTAGAGTGAGGACTAACAGGGAAAGCAAAAGGGCACCCATTATTTACTCTGACTTGGAGGCAAAGCTGTGAATCTTTCTTTAGAACCGTATTTTTCATTAAGTAGGTCAGGATCTTAATCAGGCTGTTTTCTCCCACCAGCTGCTGGGCTAATATGTGACCCTCAGACTTACACTGAAACCTCTTCTGCTGAGATGGACAACAAATGCTCAGCTATTGAGCTGAGCACACTTCATTTTCCTGCCACTCTGTGCACGTAGCACATTCTTGCTATAAAGCCACTTAGGACAAGCAGATAAAATCATTACTACAACCTAGGTCCAAAATTTTAACGTTTGCTCTAAAGAAAGGCAGTTTTCTTGGAGACAACTGCTCTGACAAAGCTTCTACAGGAGCCAGACTCTTTCAGGAGACTCAAGGCAGATGTGGAAGTACAATAGGAAAGTTAGAGAGTGGATGAAGAGGAATTAAAGGGAGAAAAATATAGAACAATGACTAATTGTTCACATAGTTTACCAATGAAGACCAAACAAAAGGCGAGTGCCTCCTGCCTCCAAGACAAAAGTAAACACACAGCAATTAAGGAGAGAGAATGGGAAAGGAAGAAGATCTAGTCAGTGAGCTGTTGCTATAAGCATTAATGAAGATGCTCGATATTGCTATGAGAGAAGAGGAAAACAAGATCATCATCATATGATCAGGTTTCCTCCACCCACCCACGCCCCAGCCCATAATCAGTTACAGTTTTAGAAGAGGTTAGCGCATACACCCAAATCAAAAAAGATGAAGAGCGCAGCTCTAAGAATTAATTACAGTGAGTAATTTTCAATTAAGCTAGAGGACAAAAGCTCCCCACAGCTAAACACAGCTGTGAATGTAGCGCATAGATTTTTCCTTGATCAGAGGCAGCAAAAATCCCTAAGGCCAACGAAATGGCGAGTGGGGAAGGGGTGAGACAGAGACAGCTCCTTGTCAAGCTGTCTGATACACAGCAAACCTACAGAGACCTCATGTCCTAGGATTGTGGTGAAATACAAGGGCATAAGACAAATAACCCCTCCTTATGCTGGACTTGCTGGTTTCTCTTCGCCTTCCCGTCCCACAACACTGTCACCTCCTTCATTTCCATCCTCTACAGAGCATCTCCAGAGCACCCATGCCCCGAGCCCTGCAGCTCCTCTCCTGCAGGAGCATCGAGTTCTCCTTCTCCAGGGGATTTTGAACTTTCAAAATTCACAGGAACTCTCTTTGAAATCTCTCCAAGTAATAAATTTGAGCAGCCTTGTAGGAAAGGTCATGATTATCACCTAGGGAAGCAAGGGTAAACAGGTACAATCAAACTGACTCTTGTTTGTCTTTTATTGGTTCATTTTGTCCTTAGAAGTAGCTATAAAAATAGTAATATTTCACTATTGCTGGCTGTAATCAAAATACTTTTCCCCAATAACCTTAACATTAAAAAGCGTTAGTTCTCCTACATCATGCATTTTTAGGATAAACACATATTAATCTGTTTAACAAAAAAAAAAAACCCAACACCACACCTTTCAATACACTGATCAGAAGTTATATTTTTAAAAAACCACAACTATTCACTAGAGTTCAATCTGCGTTATCAAGTATATTATCATAAATTTTTTCCACTCTTTTCCACTCCTTCCCTCCCCCATGCCACTGTTCCCAGATATTTTCACAACAGCAGCTCAGAGCGCAGAACATGCAGATGGCAAGTGTTAATTCCTGCAAAAAGGAAAGGAGAGAGCGTATTTCCAAGTAGCAGAAAGCTCATCTAAGGGCCATCAGGTAGAGTTTTACTTGTAACCCTCCTGCTTTGATCCCGACAGGACGAAACTAAAGAGGAAATCGTATAAAAGCATTGACATTCACTCTAAAGTAAAAAGAAAGAAAAAAAAAAGAAGCCACAGAGAGAAACCTAAACCACTGGTGAACGGGGAGTTTACCCTCCCCCATCTCCACAATATTTTTTAAAGCAAAGGCCATGACGTTTGGACAAAGCAGCTGAAAAAGTAACCCTTTGAACAACGAATTAAGCAAAATAGCCTTCAATGTCATATTATTACAGCCCAAAAATTTGCTTTGGATGGTTTAATCAGAACTAAGCGAGCCTGCAGCCCCCGACACCCTGCTGGAGCTGAAAAGGGAAGGACCACGCCAGAGCTTAGACCTCGGGAGCCTCTCTCGTTCCTGGGGAGGGCGTTAAAAATCGGGAAGCTGAGGAAAACAAAACGATGCCGTTCGACTCTGGCTGCATTTTAAGCCCTTAAACAATCTTTCCTTCAACCTGCTTTCACAAGGTGCAGGTTTTCCTGTCGTGAGGAAGAAGCAGGAGCAACATGAAGCAGGTGCCGCGGCTCCATGTGCCAGCCTGATGACATCAGGCCATCCCTTCGCCAGGTAGAGGCCCCCCCCTCACCTTTACCCTCTCCCAGGTTACAAATTTCTCAGTCACGGCAGCTTTGGCTGGATCTAAATAGATATTTTTGAGAAGGGCATCTACCAATCCCCCACCACCACCCTCCCCCGTCTCGGGGGTAAGGGCCCAGCTGAGGGAACAGGGAGGGCCCAGGGGAGGGAGAAGGGACCCAACGCCATCCTTGTCACCGGGAAGGGGACAGCACACACCATGGGACCGATGACAACAGCCCCGGGAGGGCGGAGAAGCAACTACAGGGTGTGAGGGGGAAGATGTCCCGCTGTCGCCGGCCTTCCCCCCCCCCCCCCGCACCGCCCCCCCCACCACCACCCCCCCCCCCCCTCCCAGCTCAGCCCCCGCCACCCCTCCCTCCCCAGCTGCG